CATATGATCTAATATGTTATCCCTCACAAGAATTACCTTAGATGAACTATCTAAGCCTCCTTTATGTACTAATCAAAATGCATATTAGTTCATGAAAGGATGAATAATCTCTTTTTCTGTAAAGATAATTGTACTTTATATTTCATTCCCCTTTCTATGTTAAATCCTTGTTCTTATCTATCTGTTTCCTAGTGGTTAGTGGATCTATATTGTTATAAGCCACCATTATTATAGATAAATTAATGAATGCTTCTCACCGCTGTCATTTGAATCCACCCCTTGCAAGTTTTAACCAGTCCTTCCTCGAACTTGCTCATCCCTTTAGGGTTCCATCTTTGCCAAAGTTTTTCCAATCTTTACAATATAGAGGATTATAAGTTACACTGCAAGTTGAATTTTGTTTTTCACAAACAAGGCACATTGTCAGATTATCAAATAATAGTCCACGTGTGTGTATATATATTGTCTTTTTGCTTGATATTTGAATGGGAATTTGCATATTTAGTCTTAAATTTTGAATCCATTCATTATTAATTATTGACTTAAACATTGGGTGGCGCCAGATAATTGCTGGCAATTTTGTTTTTGAGTGGGTGATGTATTCTGGGTTGGGCGTTGGTTTCTGAGATGTAGCTGGTTCCCATGTTATCAGACAGTGTTGGGGGAGTTTGGTGTAATCTGTGCAGAGGGTTGGAACTACATCTTTCTAACCGAGAACCTTGTGTAAGGTGGTGATTTTGACAATAGAGGTTTGTGAGTGCTGAGTTTTTTGTATATGCAGGCAGTGAGTTATATCCACAGAGACACGTCCGTGGTGATCTCAATTGAATCTGGTTCGGTTGCTGCAGGAAAGGTCGAGTTCGTATGATTTTTTGGTTTGTTTTAGTTTGGAGGAGCGTTTCACTCGCCGTTGCTGTTTATAAAGTGAATCCTCGATGGTATTGCCTTGTGTTGCTGTCATCTCCATTTTGCTGCAGCGTGTTGTGCGTCTCCTCTGGTTGCAATCGGGTTGGTGGATCTCTGCAGTGATGGGAATTGAGGTGCAAGGGCTGCGTGAGCTGTGGCCTTAGCGCTGGCGGTTCTCTTGGTTAGCTGCTGCTGTGTATGTGGTCTGTGTGGATTTGTTGGTTGGGAGCCTGCTTGTGTGAGGTATGGTGGTGATTTAGTTGATCTAATGGTTGTAAGACTCGACTAGGAAGGTGCACTCTTTCTCCTCTATTCTAGGCTTAGAAAAGTTTTTCAATGAGGCCCTTTCGATATTATTTTTGTATGAACCTTTCAATTTAATTCATACAAAACCCTTTTAAAAAAAAATTATTTCAAAAGGATATTTTGGCAATCACCATTAAGAGTTAATAATTTGGTGTTTAAATGCATAAAAAATGGTGTTTAAACTAATAATATAATAGAAAAGATTACTATATATAATGAGAGAGAATATATTAGTTTATTTGAATTTAAATTTGAATGTTAAATATCGATTCATGTTCGACATAAATATATAAGATTTGTTATGTGTCGGATATAAATTGTAATTGTACAATTAATAATGATTAATAGTATTTGTGCTATTAAAGTCATTTAAGGCATGCTTAAAGACTTGAATTTTAATCTGATTCGCTTGAATATCTAAAGGAGACGAGAGTTATCTAGTGGAGATGAAAATATTAACTAAAAGCTTTTAAGAGATTGTTGATACTTCTTAATAATCAAACTTATTAGATTGTATGTAATTAAACTTTATTGATTACACGAGTAATAGTGATTCCTTTACAAAAGGGTGTAATTGCCACTTAAAATTGCTCTAGTTTCTTATTATTATTTTGATTATGTGATTTTCAAATGCACCCTTCTCTGGGGTTTGAGGCCGAAAAGAGACGGCGTACGGTTAGGAAAGGTGACGGACTGGCGGCGGAGGGAAGAGGGACATATCATGGCAAAGGAGACGCTAGCGGTGGAGGCCATTTTTAGTGTACTGTAGCGAGGGAAAGAAATAATTTTATTAAGGCAAAGCAAACAGCTTTGTTTTAAAAGGGAGGATGGAGCAAATTTTCTAGAACTGAGTTTTTTTTCCTGACACAGCCAATGTTCTACAACCGTGAATCGATCAATTTCGTCCAAACATTTAAAAAGTAATTTTAAAACTAAAAATAATAGAAAAAAAAGTTCATTTATGTGAAATCAATGAGGTCCAATTTTTAATCACTTCAAGCATTGTTGTAATCAATTTATTTTGGCACCGTATAATCATTTCTTCTTATCTTTGTTTGATTGAACATTTAGTGGTCACTTTATTTTGTTGTGTTTTTTGCATCATCATTAGCATTAACATGTATCTCTTCATTTTTTGCTATCCTCCCTATTGAAGATCAAATATCCAGCAAATAGCAGCATCCACTTTGAGCTTCTCCATCACGACCCTTCCCCTCCGACTATTTAAAGGAGATTCTTCGTTGAGATATTGAAGGCCCCCCTTATTGTAAATCTAGTTCCACCTAGTCTAATTCTCTATTTCCTTTCCAATTAAAAAAAAGTTAATTGTATCATACGTTCCCAAACTATAACTCTCACTTTAAATTAGTCCCTAAACTTTTGAATGTTCCAATTTTATCCCCAAATTCATCCAAATATGCAACTAGTTTCAACCATTGTCTAACCTAAATTTAGTTTTCTTACAAACATATAATAATACAACTTGGCCTATCGATTTTTTTTAAATGGATTTGATTAGTATAAATGTATAGTTTGGGATAAAATTGGAATGTTCAAAATGTTTGGGGACCAATTTAGAATGAAGATCAGAGTTTGGAGATAAAATTGAAATATTCAAAAGTTTAAGGATTAATTTAAAACAAGAGTTATAGTTTGAGGACATGTGATGCAATTAACTCTATAATAAATTGAATAAATGCGTGTTAAATACTCAGGTGACGTTTGGTTCGATGAAATGTTTCCGAGGTTGCGTTTGGTTCGTAGGAATTCCTTGAAATTAGGGGGAATTGGAATCCAATTCCACCACTTTCCCATGTTTGGTTCAAGTTTTCAAAGAGAATTGAAATCCCTCATGACTTCAACTTTTCATCAAATGAGGAAAAGTGAATTTCATTCATTCTATGATTGAATTTAATTCCCTTATTGGAGGAATTGAAATTTGACCATACTACCCTCATCAATCTTTTGGTAACTTATTTATATATTGAATAATTTTTTTTTATTATTTCGTGTTGGGTCGATTTTCTAATTCATATATTGGGGTCGGGTCGGGTGAAACTTTATTTTGGTGGGGTCGGGTCGGTTTTTTAAGTGTGATATTCGGGTCGGGTCGAGTTCGGGTTTAGGGTGAAAAATACCCAACCCGAAAATATATATAATTTTACCTTATATATTTAGGAATAATTACAATAATACCCCTCTATATATTATATTTTTTCAATTTAGTCATTATTTTTTATTGAATAAAAATATTTTTTTTATTATTTTGTGTCGGGTCGGGTGAAATTTTATTTTGGTCGGGTCGGGTCGGTTTTTTTTAAGTGTGATATTCGGGTCGGGCCGGGTTTGGGTTTAGGGTGAAAAATACCCGACCCGACTCAAAAAATATATAATTTTACCTTATACATTTAGGAATAATTACAATAATACCCCTCTATATATAATTTATTTCAATTAAGTCACTGTTTTTATTGAATAAAAATATTTTTTTATTATTTTAGGTCGGGTCGGGTTTCTAATTCATATATTCGGGCCTGGTCGGGTCGGGTGAAACTTTATTTTGGTCGGATCAGGTCTCTGATGGAGGTTTCCTTGTTCTCGGGTAGGGTCGGGTGGACCAAAAACACGACCCATGGCCATCCCTAATTGGGATGATTTTAACTTATGATGTTTATTAACATGATTTTTATAATTTATTGAAATAAATAATCAATCAATAAAATTAAAATTTAATATTTAATATTTTTAAATTTTTATAATATATTGATACATGTAATTTATAAAACAAACTAAAATTAACAAAAAAAAACAAGAAGGGCAATCCTGTCATTTTATGTTACTGAAATCAAATTCATCTGACATGTCTGTGAACCAAACAAAATATGAAATTGGATTCCAATTCAATTTCTGCCAATCAAACAGAATATGGAATTAGATTCCAATTCCTGACAGATTCAATTCCTTCATAGATTCCAATTCTCTCATGTGCCGTTTGGTTCGCCAAGAAAACCGACCCGAATATATGAATTAGAAAACCGACCCGACCCGACCCAAAATAATAAAAAAAATATTTTTATTCAATATATGAATAAATTACTAAAAGATTGATGAGGGTATTATGGTCAAATTTCAATTCCCTCCAACAAAGGAATTGAATTCCATCATAGAATGGATGGAATTCACTCTCCCTCATTTGATGGAAAGTTGAAGTCATGAGGGATTTCAATTCACTTTGAAAACTTGAACCAAACATGGAAAAGTTGTGGAATTGGATTCCAATTCTCCCTAATTCCAAGGGATTCATGTGAACCAAATGCAACCTCACATTCAAACACTCGTACTCAAATTCAAATAAAATGACAATATTATTTGCTACTTCAGTTCAAACTCGGTCGAGTGATAAACAAAAAAACACCCATTGATGTCAAGCGCTGAAGCCTACAATTATATAAGGGGCCATTTGTGCTGACCAGGAAGAGCATGTCACATGTAATATTGATCTAAGCTTTTCAAGTTGTAATTTGTTTCTTCCTGCCAACATGATATAAAGTATATGCCACCCAAATCCTTGGAAGCATGTCACAAATATATCTTATCTTTGAAGCATGTCCCAAAGAGAAAAAGATAGCAACTTTAACATTTATTTATGTTATTGCAAAATAAAATATTTCAATGTATTTTAAAAGACAGAATTATTAAATTCAAGCTACAAAATTTTCAGAATTGAACTGCTTGAAGCACTTCTTGTATGTCAGCAATGGAAGTTTGCACTTTCATGGTTCTTTTTGATTGATAAGGCACATGATTGAATTGTGTATGTGCGTTTGCTTCCTACTCAAAAGCCTTTAAACAATCCAATTCTGTTAGATATGGATCTATTTCTGAATCCTGTTCAGTTCCTCAATGAGTTCAGATCCGCTAGAAGAGTCAGATTCATATGCAGTTGGATTGGTGGGATTCATAGGAGATGATGGATTTGCTTCTTTATCAAGATCAACCGATCCCGAAATTGAACCTGAATGAGAACCAGAAAAAAAAGTCGGTCTAAACTTCATCCTTTCATTGCCTGGTAGGGACAATCCTCGATCGACACCATTGTTTGAAACAAAACTAAATCAGGGGAAGGAAACGAATTCATACCTTTCTCGAACTTCTTTGTGTGCCGCTTAATAAGTTTCTTAGCTTTGGTTATTGTCAGCTGCCGAGCAAATGGAGAGATCTCGGCATCACCATCACTCAACTGTCCCTGCTGATCGCCCTCCTCGTCACCCCTCATAGTTCGTAGCACAAATTGTTTGGCTTTGCGCCGTTGATTGTTGAAGAGGCCCCTAACGGAAGTAACAAATCCATCACCGGCGCCGTCAGTTGAACGCTTAGGAAAGGCTCCTTTCTGATCAGAAGCTTGATCATTGTCAAGGAGATGGAATTCACCATCAGGAGCAGCAGTTATGTTTGGCTGTTGACTATGTCCCTTGTCTTTGAATTTCTTGACCTACCAAAATGTCAAATAATTAAAAGGTCAGAAGATCTGCATTCCAAACTTGATTGTATAAATTAAGCTCCTACATGCTTGCAAATAATATGTTACTCGATATCAATGCGAGTGTTGGAAATGAGAATACGTCCGGGACGGGTATATTCAATTTTTTAAAAGTTTCTTCACATATCTGGAGGGTTAATATGTGATGGTAGTGGATGCTTTTATCATAGCTCATTGTAAAATTAAGCATTAGAAATTAAGATCCCTTACCTGCATTCCAGTTACAGACTTCAGGACTCCCCATATAACATGCTTCTTAACTCGAGAGATCAGCCTCCTCCATGTTCCGGTGAACTCGACTCGGTGAAATGTATCCATCAGCAACTTGAGATCACTTACAACAAATCTGGACCCTTCGTACGTTAATGATAGCTCAACCTAATGCAGAATAACAGAAATATAAGACGATAGAAACCAAATAATGGCAATACAAAACATTAGATAACCAATTAAATTAGTTGAATCACCTGACTTATCTTGATATTGCGAAATTCAATCAGTTTCGGAGGCCTAGCCTTTTTATCTTCAATGGGTTGTACAACCTTCTCTTCCTGAGTTGGTCTACCAGCTTTAGCAGATCTTGTGTCTTCAAGTAGGTCCGTTTTCGAGGATTGAGCTTGCATTAGAAGTTCGGTGGCAATGGACTCTGCAACAGCGTCTTCCATTCTGTCGAAAGAAGATGTTCTCCTCAAGTGGGTTCCAGGTTTTAGGTCTGGCAATTTTGATGCCTGCAAGTGGGTTCCAGAAAGAGCTTATGGAAATTACAGCATTAAAAATATAAAGATCCAAAGCCTCTATAGAACCTAGTGGCTTAAACAAATCAATAAGTTTCCGCGTTAATACCAGTTACCAAAACATAAGGATGCTTACTTTGTTAGAATCAGTTGGCAGATCAGTAATGGACGCTCTTGATTTGTGTGATCCCTCAGATTCCTTTAATGCTTGGCCGACTGCTGCAGTAACATCCATGCTTTTCTTTGCCCTTCTTGCACCAGCTATTGTTGAGACCTTCCAAACTTCCTGCATTTACCAGGTTCCAAGCATAAATAATATCACCAATTGCAGTGAAAATTTGCTTACAGATTCAAAGATCCAAAGCCCAAAACTAACCTTCCGTTTTTGTGAATCTTGGTCTTCTGATGGGAAGAGGTATCCCCACACCATTCTGTACATTGCCTCAGTCAAATGAATCTTAAGCGGATATACATCTACCTACAGTACAAAAGAAATAACTTGTCTCTACTTTTCTTCAACACTGATTCATCAAAGTCATTAAACACTCTCAAGCTCAGTTTTGAGGAATCAAGGACCAAAAGCATGATCAGAAAAATCCATGCCTCTTCTCTGTGGACCTTGCTTCTTGTTTCCACTTCACAATCTTATTTCTCCATAATTGCTGATAGTTTTTTATACATTTTTTAATGGCAGCAATTCCAGATGCCATCTTATTTCTTGCAGACACTTGTTTTAATCATATTCACCAATGATCTAGCTATATTTCCCACAAAGCTATGACAACCTTTTAAATCACCTTTTAGTTCCATTATTTAATCTTATCTGTAAAATCAACTCACAGGAATACATAGAGAAGACGACTATGTATGAGATAATAAATATCTGTCCATAGCAATTATCGTATCTTCTCCACGAGATTTTATAGACATCTGGATGCACATATACGATATAATCAAGGTTTCAAACGAGGAAGTGGATCCAGCTTAGAAAAAACATATGAACCAGAACATTGGTTCAACATGCAAGCAATGAATTCATGCAGGACTCAGCAATATATAAAAGCTACTAATAGCTCCACATGTTCAGTATTGAAGTCTTTCAAAATATAAAATAAACATGTAAACAATGAATTTGAAAGGAAAAGAGAGGAAAGAAGTGAATTTTACTTGTAAAAGCTCCAGAACAGAGTTTCCACCCCTGGGAGCTCCCTGCTTTGCTTCGACGCGAAGCAGTACTTTTCTGCTCCAAGGAATGTTGGTATCATGATTTTCTAAAGAATCTTTACAACAAGCTGAGGTATCTAATCCAAAATTTTCACACGCATATTTCAAGAAGATAATGATCATGTGCATAAGCAAGTTTCAGATGTCATAAATGGCAAAACCAGAGTACCATAAGACAAGTAAATATAGGACTAGGTTCTTTTGGCATTTAAAGCATAGTAATTCATAGTTTCAGATGAGGCGTGTTGTCAAAACGACTATAAATCTTGAAAGTGTAGAAAGTAAATATTCTAAAAGTAGTCACAAATTATGATCAGCAAAACAAAAGGCACAACCAAAACAACATAATCATGGAAAAGTACGTACTTTCCCCATTCTGGAGGAGGATTCCAGGCTGATAAAAGTGTATCAGATTTTGCATTAGGCAGGCAGTTTCTTATAAAAATGGACTTAGTTGTAAAGAGAGCAACACCAATATCTTTGTAATCACGATCATAATCATAAATCTGCATGAACAGATGAGCAAAAGCTGTAAGACTCCATCTTCAAAGCAAACATTATTTGAGTGCAATTCCTTATTGAATTTAAACCTCAATTAAACCGTAATTCAGTAACGAACAAACAAAGAAGCCAAATGTCAAATCAAAACAGAGCAATGGAAATAAATAATCGATCAAAGGTTCTAGGTGCATAACTAGTACAGACCAATGAGGAGGAAGGTACTAATTTCTAAAATAAATAATCAATCAAAACACACACACACATATACTATGTTCAATATCCTCCAAATGTATAACTTTGTTAGTACAAGTTCAAAAGTTGAGTTCAATCATTTTCTAATGTATTCCAGATATAGGTACTATCAGACCTAAATAAAAGTCATTAAATAGTTTCCTTCACTTCACCTTCAACAAGATATAAATTAACATTCTCAGCCTTTCTTATCCTATAAAAGATACATGTATTATCTCACCTATCAAATAAAACCAAGGCTCACAAATAAAATCGAAAAGAAGGTAGTTTTCTCAGTACTTCCTTTTGCCTTAGAGATCTCCATCTAGGAACAAAAATGTACCATAGTTCATTTAAAATAAACTGTATTTTCCCCCCTATCAATTCTCTTCTGAATTGCTTAGTATTGTTAATTTCTCAATAACCTGTTTTACTGATTCAAGAAAATAAGCAGTACATTAGTTCCTGGAATATTGATGATATATAGAAACATATCAATGAAAAAAATTAGAATAAAATATAATTTATGGATTAATCAAATATTTCTTCAGTTCTTTTTAATATATTTGCCAATATCAATGTGAAGATCCCAATATCAGCTGATACTAATTGTTTTTGTTAAAACCAGTATTTATTTCACAGGTAAAGGCAGACATGGATGGGTGTAAGGATCTTTTTTAAAGTTCTATTTGTTGCAAGAGAAAGTTTTGCTCTGTGAATTTGAGCCTAAACACATGGCTTGACTGAACGGATTGACCCTAATCGCTGTTAGTTCAAGAGAGGTCATCTATTCGGAAATACAACCTCCACTAAAAGATAAAGAAAGGTATCGTTTGATTATTCTCTAGCATAAGCATAAAACAAAGTAACTTATCGTTTCAGGAACTCACCAGGTCATTTATCTCTACCTCGGCAAATGGTTTTCCATCCATAAGCATGCTCCATGCGACTTTGGTAGTATGTACAGAAACTCGCATGGCACAGGATGGACTTTTGTTCTTTTCTTTCTCCATCAGCCGTTGCTGAGCTGCTTTCTGCATGGTAACCCTTAAGGCTGCTGCTGCTTCCTTCCTAAGTTTTTTTACGTCACCAAGTTCTTTCTTCAATCCTTGTACCTACACAAATCAAGTTCTATTTCTTGAAATCTATAAGACTAATAAGAAACACAAAATCCATGCCCAGACTGTAATGAATCCATTAATAACGTCGTAATAAAAAGTGCAGATAACAGGAGATACAGTAAAAACCACTGAACAGAAAGCCTCCAACAATTACAGCAACTCCAAAATGCATTATCAAGGTCCAGTCGTTATCCCCAGAGTTAGCCTCTTTAGTTCAACAAACATCCCTTTTTTAAGCTCCAAAGTGCATTTTTAAAGAAATTCCAGATTTGTAGAGTTATGGAAATCAGAGCGGCCTTTTTCTAGTTTCATGATTCTATACATACAGGTGAAGTATCTACATTCAAAAAGTTATCCTGAAAAATTAATAGTCAGATAAAGGATAAGGGATTGACCCGCATACAATTTCAAGGAAATTTTCCGACATACTAACCAATATAGATACTCACACTTTGAGTAATAAGTATACTGGCTGAGGAAACACCTTAGAAATTGGTTCTGGCAGGAAAGATATGCCAAGAAGGAAATTCAGCCTTAACCCGTTAGATACCATGCATCTTAGTTAAATTTCATAACAGTATTAATTACCTTCACCAATAAGTACATTCTCAGCAGAAAGAAATTTATGAGATTCATAGGAAATATATCTCCCGCAACAAAGATCATGAAAATTTTTGCAGGCAAGATGAAGTTGGGAATCAAGCAGGAATGGTAAATTACTTGACCTATCAATGGTTCATGCTCTTTCACATCATATTAAAATGGAGTTGATAAAGTGAAACACTGGAAAGTTCAGCTCTCCACTTCTCTAATATGAGTTGGCTCATATAACAATATTAACCTTGAAGGTTCAAAGACGGCATAATCCACAAACATGGAAATTTGATAATTAGAGATTACTGACAATATTCACTTTCTTACCAAAAGAGATTTCCCACCATTTACCATCCACCAATCACCTTCTTTTTCCAGATTGTCTCCTGAAGTATCACAATGAAGAGATAAATTCTTAATGTTATTGAGTATAAACTTATGATCCCATTCTTTCTGCTGAAGGGTGATTTTGGCAAGTTCTACTTCTTCAACACCAGAAGGAACCACTGCATCTGCCTCCTCCCCTTCATCTTCATCATCTTCTCCAGGACAAGTGAAGCAACTTTTTCGAGGCCTGGATTAAACATGTTACTTCCATTAATTTGGAGAAAGGAACTATAAAATACCAAAAATCTCTTTTGCTGCCGAGATTATTTGACCGCTGTAATGGAGATGATTGCATTCAATTGACATACAATGAATATTGAAGCATAGTTTACATTTCAAATAGATCTGAACCAAGATGTAATGGATGTTTATTGTTTTTAAGATAATTTAAAAAGATGCCTGGTAACGTTAAGAAATCCCAGCTACTGACTATCCTTATACTTTATAATATCTGACCTACACTTGATCAAACTAATCTGAAACAAAGGTCTAATTTATTGTTTAAACACATGCAGGAAAGGAAGAAGAGTAGCACTCAACCAGCCTTAACCCTAAGAAAACAAATGCTTTATCTCCAACTGATATTTTCGTCCAATCTAACATTTTGATTTGGAGTTGGACTTGGATCCATAAAAGGTATTGCCACATACCAAATCATCAGTAGGCCCCACTTTTACAATTTGAAAAAAAAAACTGAAGTTGTCTACTTAGGAACACTGTTACAATAATATCCATTTTCAGAATCGTCAAGTTTCAAAAAAAAAAAAAGGATAGGAGAACATAGATTTTCATTGATCCGTGCTCGTTATCCACTAGCTCTATGCTGGTTTTGTAATTCTTTGGTTTTTAATAAAAGTTTTGGCTTAGCTATATATATATATATATCGTGAATGGATGGATCAAATTCCAACCAGGACAAAGTACATGACATGCAGAAACTCTTACAATTAATAACAACACATACTATAATTTCATAAAAGAGACATTGTAAAAAAAGTTCAAAAAAACAAAACGAAAACAAATGGGGCATGTACTTACTTGGGAGCCCGAGCAAAGAGAAGGTTGGTTAATACATCCAGCATAACCTGAAATTGGCGAGATGTCATGGACATTGTTATGCTCTGCGAGTTAAAGCTGAGATCCTTTAACGGCTTCACCTGCAACACAGTAAAACAAACTAACATAAGCAAATTTAACATAGGTGAGGTCTAGAACTCAGGAAAATAAAAATCAACATTGTATTTTCTTCATGAAAGATTTAGTTTTAATACTTTTACTATTAAAATACATCTCATTTTTACTTATTATCAATAATGTGCCAATTTACTTGGACATATGCATCTTTGCAAAAATGAATACTTTGTAAATGTTACATTTACCTTCAATTCCGGGGTTCCACTTTTATGCCTTGTGAATCGGAAGTACATATCACAAGGCATAAACACTCTTTCCAGTAGAGCGCCAGTACGCTTGACCTTCTGAGAACCTCGACGAATTTTTGGAAGCCACTGTATTCCAGCCCCAAGATCCACATCAGTAGGTGCAACATGAGCCTGCACATGCTCCAGCATCACAGAAAACTCCATGCGTGTCAATGTCATGTCATGCCCACCTTCAGGAATATGAGCACTTTCAGTACCCAGTGCTTGCTCAATCACCTCAGAGCCAACACGAAGAACTGAATGAAAAGATCGTGCCAAAACACGACCACTAGCAGCAGCGAAAAGAAATCTCCCCTGATAGGCAAGAAGAAGTAATTTTATTGAAACATAGCTAACATAAGATGATAACTATCAACAAATCGGTATAAGAGAAACAATGTATATCATACAAATTAGAATATACTATAGGACGTTATAAGAGAAACAATGTATATCATACAGATTAGAATATACTATATGACCTCCCTAACATAAAGCTAGTGAAATCAAGCAATGATTTCATAAAAATATGAAATACTCTGAATATTTACAACAGGTTAATTTTTATGCATCATGAAGAATGAATAAGCTCATAAGATGAAAAAATGCACCGACTCACATTTGCTTCTTCAGAGTGAAGATTGAATTGAGGCTCGATAACATTTACCATAAAATGACGAGTCCCCTCCTCTTCGGAATCATCAACCTTGTCATTTTTTTCTCGTTCTATAATAAAACAAACAAGTCACAGCTGTAACTTTTGGAACTAAAATAATCAAGTTTTTGTAAATTACCAAAAAGAGAATAATTGTAACAATGAATCAGAAATAAAAATCCCACTAGAATTATATGGAATATATACATCTCAATATGTAAGCTTGATACATACCAACTGCAGCAGTAGATGAATTTTCCATTCCAGCTGCTTGTGATACAGATGAATCTGATTCATATGTCTCCATATTTTGAGAAGAGGAAGGCACAACATTTTTTGTAGAAGGGGACTTCAGAGCATCCTCTTGAGGCATTTCAGGTTCACTAAGTTTCTGTTTCTCCTCGAGTAACTTCCTCTGTGCATACTGCCGAGAAGCACAAGGCTTTTGAGCTTCTAATGCTTTGGCTAATCCAGCACCAAAAGACCTCACAGCATCTCGATTCTCTATATTCAACAGAATTTTAAGGCCGTAAAGAAAAATACGCTGACAATCGTCAGCTATAACCACGTTGTATCCATCGTCATCACTAGGATCTGACTCTGCATTCTCGTCACTCTCCCTCACTTTCTCCGTCATACATCTGACGTATGTCGTTCCAAGATTTTTTCTCCCAGCCTCTTGCCAAGCCGACAAGCTTTCAGGATCAGCCTTTGGGGACTGCTTTCTGATTGTAAAATAGTCAAATGACATAAAATATCCTTCATCAGGATGCTTCTCTGTGCAATCACTCGTAGAATTGCCCTTTCCACTAGAAACTTGCTCCATGGATGCAGACCGAGAAGTTTGACCTACTTTTATGACACTAGTGCTATCTCCTTTGTTTAAAAAGGCCTTCAGCAAATGAAGGTCAAGCCCCAGGTAGACAAGACCAAGAGGTTCACGCGTGCAATCAAACGTAAATTTTTGCTTACCCCTGCTGGAACAGACTTCAACTTTAAACTTTGTTGTAGTAAATGTCAGTCCTTTTGCTGGATCATCTTCAGCAAACGTCTTATACTTTATACAAGTAGGTGTGATATCTAAACGGAACATAGTTTCTGTCATCACCCTATCTAATGGCAAGTTTCCTGATCTAGGAACTAATGGAATTCCAAAACGCTTAAACCGAGCAAACAAACGGATTTTGCACGGGGGTAAAGCCACCACATTTCCAAACTTAGCCAGCCAAGCTAGATCATGTACATTGAAACTCACTGTTGGTGAACCATTTGAAACATTGGAATCTGACGCTGAAGCAGGTGGGGTTTGTTTGTCCAATGAGGGACGCAGGGGTTTAAGAGAAACATCAAATCGGAGAGTAAGAGCAGTAGATCTGAAAGGATCAAATACTTTCTCCCTAGACTTTCCTTCCACAGGAAGTGCAAATAAATAATGATTCAAGGGATGACCAGAGTCGCAATCCCAATCCATCAAAACCTCAATGCTAAAGACTGGCACATCAAGGAATGGAACAGATACAATGGTAGGAATTTTTACGCTGCGACTATTTATCAAACTCTCCAAACTGCTTAGGAAAATTTTAAAATCTTTTGCACAGGCATAAATACGGCCATCAGATTGCTGGATCTCCAAAGGACCAGAAACTATTTGAAGCATGTCAAGCTTTTCATAAGGATCAGCAGATGCTTGAATGTACCATTTAGTTTCAGAAACGAATAAATTATTATTTCCATGGATGTAATTTCTCATGTCATCCCACCATGGTAAGCTCTTCTCCTTTTTTGGCAGCACTGGAAGACCAGGACCTTTTTTGCTTAAATTAGCCCTACGAAGCGCCACAGTGAAAGCATAGCTGACATCAGCAAAAACTGTTTCATATCCCACCCCAAAGGACACTTCTGCACTTCTAAAACGCAAGTGTAAATCTGTGTATGTTTTCATTGGCGGAGTTGTACCAGTGGCTGAGCGAAGCATGCGGACCTTTCTCCACCTCCCAATGAAGACGTCATGCGACATTTGGGGCTGAAAAGCTGTTGCCTAAAATTCAAATAAAATTATTTCAATCAGTGTAAGATCAGCAACCTTCCAAGTTCCACCCTCCCTCTTTTTTTTTTCTCTCCCAAAAAAAGGATAGATATACAAAGGAATTTCAAATATTGTTTTCTTGGCATATAGAATGGGAAAGAAAAAAAAGGTGAACGGAGTTAGCTTAGGAGTTTACCTGCTGTCCCATCACAAGACGGCCTTCACATTTACCAGAAATTGCAGAAAAAAGAGGAAATGGGTAGTCTCTTATCTGAACAGTTAGACAGCCAGCGTTTAAGAGAAGATTACACCCGTATACACGAGAAAACGGAATCGCAGCTTCACGACATACAGGATCAAGCTGCTTTATAACTTCTATCATCCCGTCAGTTCCACCATCAATCAATGTCACGGTCACATCTAATTCTGTACCTGAAATAGAAAAAAGTGAAATTCTTGATGTGCTAGGCTTAAAACCAGCCTGGAAACCTTCTCTCCAGCTACCAGAGCCTTCCGCTGGCTTTAGCTTTTGACACGCTAAGTAATAGGATTGAAAAGACTGTCTATATATCTCTTCTTGCATTTTTTGGATTGCTGAAGGATCCTGCATATCAATCTCAGCTCCATTATACTGGATCTTTCTTTCACAGGAAGAATCGTTACTTTCAGCTGTTTTAGGACACTGATTGGCCGAAATATAATCATTAAAAAATTTCAACCTAGCATCTAGCTCGAAGGCCTCTTTCTTCATTAGAAAGTAGTGCTCGTCAAGCCAGCCCTGGATTGGTTCTTCCTCAATTTCAATGGTCAGCTTGCGTAAAAAGAACTTCACACATCCAAATTTGTTTGAACTAGGCTTTTTAGGTTTGGGATTGGGGCTGTCTTTCTTCACGGGAAGAATTAGGTGAGTTTTAGCATTAGTTACAATCTTCAAAGCTCGCAACATCTCTTCAACAACATCATCAATGGCACGCAACTCCAGCCTGAAAGGCAGGCAAATATAAACGTCAAGTGCTTGAATCACAATATCCCACACAGTGACAACTGGTACTGTTGCATCAGATGAGCTGGAAACATTGGGAATACGGGAAATTTGCATTCGGCCACTTCTCAATAACTGGGCTCCGTTGAAACCAAGCAATAATCCTTCAAGAAGTACCCCTATGCGGGCATTCTCAGAGAAAATTGACTGAATCTGCACAAATGCATCAACACCGTCTCCAGCTTCAGCATATATACTCAGCACCTCTACGTCAACAGCAAAAATAGATTCTTTTTTCTTTGTTTTATTAACATGACCTGACTCCACCCCAATGACTTCTTTCTTCTGCTCAACTTCTCTTTCACTAGAGACATTATCTGCATGTTCATTACCACTTTCCTTAACCTTCTGATTGTGTACAAGTGCTTTCAGTTTCAAACCAAGTTCAACGAAAGACAGATGCATGTCAGGCTCCCATGTGATGGAGATGTCAGTAGCACTGAACAGAGAGCAAACAGTTATCTCTTTATGGCCGACAGAGCGTTGTACAAATTTTGCATTCTGCATATCAAATAATGTAATTTTTTTGTCTGGATTATCTTCTTCGAGATGATCCTCATAGATAGATCTGACTCTTTCAAGCTCAACTTCTGTGGATTGTTTCTCCTTGTTTACACACAAACTAAAGTGAAAGATGTCAAGCAAAAGAGAGTGCTTCAAATTCTTGCATTCATCTGAAACCGTGGAGATTACAGTTGCGGTACGTTGTGTCCCATCTTCCGAAACACTAATAACAACCCGACCACCCTGAGAACCATAATTTACACGCTTGGGATCTGCCACCACAACTGTGTTTTCCAAGCAAGTGTCGCCACAAAAACTAATTGAACATTGTTTAAGATTAAATTTTAAAAGTCGAGTGCCCTTCCCTGATGGCTTTGATGAACGTGATGTCCGGCTCTGTGTTGCTTTCTTACTAGCAGATGGCTTTTTGAAGAGTGCTTTAATGGACATGGCTGTTACTATAAGTGATTCAACATGCTTATACGTGAAATAAATGCCCATTCCAGCCACATCAGCATAAAGAACTAATTTACATCTAGTGCCGCCATCTTCAGATGATTCCATGTCCTTTTTACCCCAGTCTAGAGTAACCTTTGCTACATGCAGTAATGAACCTGAATTTAGTTTCACACTGGAAATGCTTTCTTTCAAGCATTCTTGATTTTCATCTGCCACACGCAAATGCAGCTCGCCAAGTTCCGTGTGTACTGTGGGTCCTGTACTTGAAATGTCATTAGCCAACACATATGATGACTGCAAGCAGCCCTGCATTGGAAATCAAAATCAAAATCAAAATTGGTGTCACTCGTTGATTTATTCGAAAAGGCAAACACAAACCAATTAAGGCATACAAAGCGAATAACAACAAAAAGGAACAAAACGAACATGGAATCGAAATAGAATATCATGTTCTCAGAAAAGCTAATAAATTATAAGTGTGACCTGAATGGAATTAAGATATCCTACAACCTAATCTATAACAAAGAAACTTATTAGGTTTGTAAAACCATCATAAGCATCCAAGAAGTTTAGATAAACTTTGATTTTTATTTGAGTAGCACAATTAGCAACATTTTTGTGTGCTGATTTTAAAAGTGAAAACCGCATTTTTATTATGTAGTCTGCCACCATGGTTCCCACTACCTAATAACAATCTATTGACTTGTCAATACTACCTAGAACAAAAAGGCTCCTGATTATGCATCAGAAGTAATGTGCTGGTCGAATAAGTTAAATATTTGACGGGATCATCGGGAACAAGAATAAAATGGAGATGATCAAATGAAATTAAAGTAAACTAGGAACTAAAGAACGCTACTCTGCAAATATCCAAAAAATCAACGATGTTCTGGCAAAACGGGATATCTAGCAGATTATGCATCCTCAGATATAAAACCCTGTGCTATATACAACCGCATGAGTTGCAAGATGAAGGCTCATCCATTTCACAGATACCCAATATGAAAAAGATAAATTATGTTGCTTACTTGATACAGTGGCACATCACTGATACTATAAAGCACAATTGTAATCTCAGGAACTGAGACAGTACATTTCCACATTATGGCTTTGGATTCAGTTGATTGTGGCTTCTCAATAGTAGAAGTTTCCTCTTGAAGAACCACTTCTTTCTTTTTGGCTCCTGTACCAGAGGGTTTCAATCTCAACAGTTTCTTTAATGTACTTATCATAACATTGCACCGAATCCCTCCAAGCTTAACATCTATTTCAGCTCTAACAGGTGAGATTGGCTGAAATGCAACAGCATTAAAATAAATAACAGCCACTGAACCAACTCAATTGGCTCCTGTACCAGAGGGTTTCAATCTCAACAGTTTCTTTAATGTACTTATCATAACATTGCACCGAATCCCTCCAAGCTTAACATCTATTTCAGCTCTAACAGGTGAGATTGGCTGAAATGCAACAGCATTAAAATAAATAAACAAGCCCACTGAACCAACTCAAAAAATAAATATGTGGCACCCTAACATGCTTAAGAAGTCCATATGTTAGAGCATATGCTGCTACCAAACAAAAGAAGAATAAACTGGTAGTAGGAGAAAAAGTATTCCTTACTCCTAAACAAAAATGGGGTGCTGGCAATAGTCCATCATTTGACGGGGACCAAAATAAAAGCAGTCAATTCTGTTTTAGTCACCCACGTTAACAATGGAATGAATTGAATAAGGAAACTAGAGAAGTCAGAATTGCTAAAGGTAACCCTGTTAGGTAGTTTGTTTTTCCAATTGACAAGATAATCTCCAAGAGCCACAAACCCCTAAGTTCAATCAATTGAATTGGGTAATCATTCACCAATCCAGGAAATTTAACTCCCTCTGCATTGGGCCTAAAATGATCAAACCAGTTCCCATCTGGAAAACGTACAAGGTTTTTTCTTCTAAAAAAGTTTCCTGCCTGGCAATTTTTTATTTTATAGAAGTCACTGCTGTTTAAAGGCAGGTCAACTTGGGTCATTTTAGCTATATTATCCAAAGTTCAGGTAAATGTAAACAGGAATGTATTTGACTTGAAAAAGACGCCAACCTGCCATTATTTAACAGGACTCACCTGTACTGGAATGTTGACAAAAGAGAAAACACCAAATTTCTTTATCTCTAATACAGAAGAGCCAGATTCTCTGAGAAGCTGAAATAGAGAGGACAAATCAATGTCAATAATTGGCAGAAATGGAAGATTATAGTTAAAATTAAAACAAAGAGAGATGCAAAATCAATGGTAATGGGTTTACATGTATCTCACTGAATTCGAACTGGACGTCAACTCGTGTACTCTCCCCCACCTCTTCAGTTGATTTTGATTTGATGCTTTTCAACTGAATGCTCTTGATATTATTTTCAACAACAATATCATGTTCCCGATGCACAAACTTCACATCTAGTTTTGGTAAGTTGAAACTAATCTGTCTCAGAAAACAAATAAAAGAACAATGAATAGAACTTGCGACCAGTGCATTCAAAAAATTTGTGCATTGTATTTCTTCAGTAACTTGAGCACTGTCTCTGAGCCGCATATTTTAATTCTGCGTTCTCAATATTCAAACATGACAATATGGCTCCATCAAACAAACACCTATCTTCTTCTGTGTGGTAGAGAATCTCAATAAAACCCCCTTTCATAGGAATTCTTATTTAATTTGTTCCATTCTTAGTTTCCTCATTACCTCTGCTAACATACAGCCTATTTTTAAGCTCATCAATAGTAAACCAAAGCAGTTATCCGAATCAGGTTGGAACTACATCTTTAATTGGTCAATCCAGTAGAACATTAAATAACAATTTTCATCATAGATAAGAAGGTAAAACAATTATGACCAAGGACCAATACAGATGTTTTTGCAATCTGATAATGAAGTTCTGTATTCAATAGCAACTTTAATTAGAAAATGGATTCCAACCTTGGAAGACAAAAGATATAGCAAGCTTGTCTCTATTGACGAGTAAAAGAACAAACCTTTTCCGGAAAAATAGAAGTATTTTTTGTCAATGCTAAAATTGCAGCTTGTTTCTTATCAGGCTTTTTAGTGGTCGAGGAATCAGCTGTTGACTCTTTAACTTTTTCAATATGAGAAGAACCACCTGGTGGTTTTTTAGTCTTGGATAGCAGCTCCTCATTGAGGTTTACAATAATCTCTCCAAAGTTAATGTCCACATTTCGGACAACTAAACCAGCTTCCCTGAATGCAAATTAAAAAACATAAGCATAAAGCATATAAAGCAAAAGCCAAAAAAAAGAAATAGTACATGTTTAAGTAGAGAATATGTGTACGAGACAAACAAAACCCAAGTGAGCTTTATGCAAAAGCTAAAAATTTACTATCCCTAACCAGCCAACGAAATTATGCCAAAGATTAACGGGCTGGAATTATTTGGCTTTTGTAAAGAAAAATTCAGAGAGAAAAGAAATACCGTTCATTTCCAAATTCACAAGAGAGAGAAAACTCTTCACAACTAGAAGGGGCAGAATGCTTTTCCATACTGCCAGAGAGCAGCTGAACAGCTTGGGCAGAAATGGGTAATATTTGTAATATAACAAACAGACTGGGTTTAGACCCACCGTCTTGAGATATATCTAGTTTGATTCCATTAACTTCAACAGTTGCTTTAGGTGTCTGCATGATTTCAAGATAAAAATAACTTGAGAGTACACAAACTTTCAAATATAAGAAGACAACTTAAAAAAAATGAAGTATAAACTGGCACTGGATCTATGTGAAACTGAACCATTCAGAGATCCATGAACCTTAACTAGATGATAAAGCATACATGACATAGGTGAATGAACAAGATCAAACTCTTAACAGTTCATTTTTATGAAAATGAGCTAATAAATATGTCTATTAGAATCATACTCCAACACCAATTTGCTGAATTTATATTATTACTCATTGTGCCCCATCACACTCTTCCCAGCTCTCCTTATCTAACATTTATTCCAGTGAACAAACAGACACAGCCACCTCATAAAAGCATTAAAATGCTATATGAAGCAAATAAATTATATAAAATTGAATCGTTACTAAAAGGGGGAAAAATGGTCAAAGACCGATTACCTTCAATGCCAAATCTGTAATAGAAACTGACAAAAATCTTGCAATGTTACCTACAGCCATCAACTTCTTTCCCTTGCCTGAAGAGCTTTTACTCGAAGAGCTTTTATGGGGTTTAGCTTTCTTTGAGCTTTTACTTGAAGAGCTACTTGAAGGCCTTAATACAATTTCTGGCTTACTTATTAACACCTGTAGCTTTAAACTCTTAGAAACTCTGCCAGTCCCAAGTTTAACCAAGGACTGACATAAACTGAGCTTAATTTCAGCCACTGATATGGATTCAAGAGCACCCTGAAAATTATCCAAGCAAACAAAAAAATGACGAATGTTGCGCACATAGGTTGCAAAATAGTATCTAGAGCAAATAGCAAGAAATGATACAAATTAGGAGAAAAAACGTAACAACATCCAACTAGCCTTCATACTTTTTTCCTTGATACATTTCCTAAACTACCCATAAACCCCCCAAACTAACTATAGTGGAGGGTATTACGCGCTAAAATGCTTTCAAACCCACACCCTCCAAGTGGCTATAACAGCAATAATGCCAACTAAACTAAGACTCGGTTGTAAAATATGATTTTTAACTTTTCTATCACAGAGGACAGGCTTCAAAATGTACATTTATAAGTTGAATGGTAGGCAATGAAAAAAAAAGCTAGATACCGAACCATAACCATACCATCCCGCTCATCATTTAACCCTATATATATATATATTTAGTCAAAGAAATTCTACTTAAAAACTTAATTCTTTCCTGTGCCTCCTGGACATCCCATATAAGATTAATTTCCAATGCAGAGAACTCCCCACCCCGAATTAAAATAAATAAATAAAATAATAAAAGATTCGTGATGATCAGGTTCTCCATGGAAGAACACAAATAGATTTTACAGAGACAAAAGGTGGACCTTTGCAAAGCCATATCTAGGACAAAGTACATCATTTTAGTTGAAAGCAAACAAAGCAGGTCATCATTGCAGTAATATGCTAAGTGGTGAAGCCCATCATATAAGAGACAAATACCAAGAACTCCACCCAGAAGATACAACATGAAAGAAAACATCAATATAAAGGTCCGTACCCTCAAGTGAAAATACTCCATATGATCAGTTCAACCAAAATCTAGTCCCGGAAATTTATTGAGCTTAGATAGGAAAAATAAGTGACATGACAGATAGGTGAAAGAAGAAACTGGGAAAAAATAAAGCCTTTTTCTGAAATAGGAGTAGTACTCTACTGGGAAGAATATGTAAGACACCAATTTTCTTCTTAATCCAGAACCACCCATCTTTCCAGTTTTAACAAATTCCAGGCCAAAAACACCAGAATGATTAGATCCTATCTGCTTAACCCTTTCCCCTCATCTTAGATTGAAAAGAACATGAAATAGTTTTGGTAAAAGATCAAATTATGAAATAATAATAATAATAGATGTAAGTGCAATAACAAATTACTTGTTCTCCTCTCATTCTTCCATCCCACAAAGGAAGTGCAAAACATTTATATCACTCTTTGCAAACACTTTTTCGACTGAAGAACATTGAAAAATATAAATTATTTCTCATTCTCCCACTACTACAATGAACCGACTTTCGAACTCACTTTTACATCCTTCCCGACAAGATAGTTTAATGAGTAAATAGAATAACAACAGAAGAAAGTGAAATTGTTCAACAATTTAACTTACTTAAGAGTCTTAATTTAACAGAATATTGAAGATGGAAACAATCAATTGAAATTCGAGAAAGACCTTTTTTAACTTCACCGCTATATCCTTCAAACAGTTCCACCCTCCAAGTCGGAAGTCAATAGATACTCCGACTGTTTTGCCTAGAATCCAAAACAGCAACCTCAAAGCAAATCTGTAAAGTAAAATAAAATGTACAACATAAGTTTTAGCAATCACAGATGGGTCATCAGTTATCACCTCAAAGTTCGAACATAATACAAACATTTTTTGGTATAATTCATGTCTGTTTTATGGTCCATGTTCGGAGCTGTCCCTGACAACAATGTTGTCTCTAAGGTTCAAACCTGGGTCTCGCCACCCAACACTTAAAGATATTTTTTTAAAGTATAGACAAAAGCAGTTTCCATACATAAACATCTCATTGGAATTATTTTGCACAAGAGAAGAAATAAATCACCAGTGCCTGTAACAAACTTGCAAGCATCTATCTAAACTTTCTGTATATAAAACCGCTTTTATCACCACAATTATAAACAACGCCAACAAACACTAAAGAACGATGGAAAGGTTCCCTTAAAAGGAATTCCAAACAGAGAATAATAAAATTAACATTTCAGATAATATAAAATAATAATAATCATATCGACATCTTCACATATCAAATTAAACACGAAAAGGAGAACAATGGATGTACTTACATGAAAACTATCCATGATGTAACGGAAATCACCAAAAGTCCAAAGAGAAACCTTAAAGTCCCCATTAGTTTCCTAGTGACAAAACTTTACTTGCACGGAACTGTAAAAAATCCAATCAAATTATCCAATTCGAAAAAGAAGACGAAGCAACGGCTAAGAATGAGAGCCTCTGAACATAATAACATGAAGCTGAAAAACAGACCAAAAGGGAGCAGGAAAACCTACAGAAATTGAGTGTCTGACAAAATATAAAGAGATCAAAGTGTTTATCTGGGGAAATGAAACTGAGTCTTCGAAGCGCAGCGATCGGAAGAGAGAGTCTGGACATGATAGATGATCCGATCCGTGAGGTGCTCAGTGATAAGATGGGGTGACTGTTATTCTTTTTGTTTCCGTTTTTTCTGGTATTGTAACGATGGGTTTGAATTGGATTGTGTGAGGGTGCGGGGGAAATGGTGTTTCAAATGACCAAACAGTAAGAACTAAGAATTCCCAACTAGATTTGAGAAAAAATATAATTACAAAAACGATTTTAAAATGACAAATGTTCGTCACTTAAAATAAATTTTCCTAAAAAATATTATAATAAAATGAGATGATAAATTTTATTAATACACTAAAAATTTATTTAATTTTAATTTATATAATAAATTATTTAGTTTTTATGTTCATTTCTTTATCATTTAATAATAAAATGTAAAAAAATAAAATAAAAGTGTTATTATTACCGACAATTTTGTCAAAGTTATTCTCATCTATCGATAATTTATTGATCACTATAAAAGTAATCTTATTTCCCTAATTAATTCTATACCATCTCCAAATCTCAATTTATTTTTAACATCAATCTTCTCTTAATTGTATCCATAATTAATCTTTTAAAAGCTAAATTTTAAATAAAAAAAACGTATACTCTACTTCGTTTTATTGAACTCATTTAATACAACCAAAAATTTAATTTATATAATGTAACCCCTCATACCGATACAGTGATTCGATACAGGATGTCATATTAGGATCACTGGAGCGACCTAGATATATAATCCTGGAAAATTTAAAATTTTTGTTAATTCATTTAAAACTGTAAAATAATTTATAGGTAAAATACAAGTTCAAAAAATCATTTATATATTAAAAATAGAATTCAATAATATCTAGTAATAAGACAAGTTTCAAACTCAAATATAAAACATAATACAAACTACATGCCCCCTAATTACATGCACAGTACTCTGCAAGTAACACCGATAGAACTCCTTTATTGATGTCGATAAAACACATGATCAAACTCTTTAACCTCGAAAACGGACTCAAGATGTCGAAAAACATCAGGATGTCGAAAAACATCAGGATAGATATTCCGGAAAAAAAAATCAATGGTCGGTTAATAGCTAGTCAATGATTAATGGCTCGGCTCGACTGACCCTAATGTGACACCCCGGATCGGATCACTCATATCGGTATAAGGGGGTTATATTTAGTGGTATCAGAACTTAAGGGTATTGAATCATTTTAGGACTTGGGGGTATTTTAGGTCATTTCATACTTTAGGCGTATTTTGGTTATTTCACAATTCAAGGGTATTTTAATCATTTTCTTCCGTCTAGTATTTCCATTTAATTCAAACTTGTCATTTATTTAAGTCATTTCGAACAATTCTGACAATGAGAGTACTTTCGATAAGTTAGTCTTCGGGTAAATGCTCATAAATAAGAAATTTTGGGTTTAGTGTCTTCTCAGAGGTTACGAATTATTTATCAGAAATCTTCCGAACAAAATAGGAACTTAACAGTTAAATCAATAATTTATCGAATTAGATATGAATTTTCAGGGTACTTTCTAAATCAGAGTCAATCCGAGTTATTTTTACCTCTCAAGGGTAATTCTGTAATTTCTCACCTAGGTATTTTCGGTGTCTCAATTTTTAACAAGAGTAATCAAATTTTTAAGGGTTATGAGATTAAACGCTTCACTGGTTAATCACGTAACTTGAAATTGTTCCTAATAAATCTTCTAATTTATTATATGAGTCATCAGAGTTTTATTCAGTTACTTACTTTTTTACCGTATTCGAATCAAGTTCAGAAATAAATAACTATACAGACAAGACCAAACATAATCATCAATGCATTTAGCCATACCAACATGTATCGTAATGCAAGCATAGGCTCAAGCTACATTGTTCAAGCATTCAAACTCTATTTGATCGCTCTCAAACTTGAATCCAACATCCAATAATATCTCGGATAAATATCAATAGAAATTACATCTGAAACGGAGCTTAGTTTTAAAAAAGGGATTGAATCAGAAGGTTAATCAGTAAAAACATCTTATCGAGATAAAATTTGGTGAAATATTCCTTGAAAACGTACTCAGTATGCCATAAAACATCAAGATAGGTGTTTCCGAAAAAAGTCGACGGTTAAGGCTCAGCTCGGCCCGACTGACCCTAATATAACACCCCATATCAGATCGGATCACCCATATCGGTCTGAGGGGGTTACATTTAGTGGTATCATAGCTTAAGGGTATTCAGTCATTCCATGGCTTAAGGATAATTTAGGTCATTTCATATTTTAAGGGTATTTTGGTCATTTCATAATTCAAGGGTATTTTAGTCCTTTTCTTCCATCTAGTCTTTCCATTTAATTCAAACGTGTCATTTATTTCTGTCATTTCAAACAATTCTGACAATGCGAGTACTTTCGATAAGTTAATCTTCGGGTGAATGCTCATAAATCAGAAATTATGGGTCTAGTACCTTCTCAGAGGTTACGAACTGTTTATCAGAAATCTTCCAAACAAAATAGGAACTTAACAGTTAAATCAGTAATTTATCAGATTAGATACAAATTTTCAGGGTATTTTCTAAATCATGGTCAATTCGGGCTATTTTTACATCTCAAAGGTAATTTCCGTAATTTCTCACCTATGTATTTTCAGTGTGGCAATTTTTAACAAGAGTAATCAAATTTTTAAGGGTTATGAGATTAAACACTTCACTGATTAATCACGGAACTTAAAATTGTTCCTAATAAATCTTCTATTTGCTATAGGAGCCATCAGAGTTTTATTCAATTACTTACTTTTTTATTGTATTTGAATCGAGTTTAGAAATAAATATCTATACAGACGAGACCAAACATAATCATTCATGCATTTAGTCATACCAACATGTATCGATGCATGCATAAGGTAGTAAAATATTACCTCGATTCTCGAGCTACACTGGTCAAGCATTCAAACTCTATTCGATCGCTCTCAAACTTGAATCCAACGTCCAATAATATCTCGGATACATATCAACAGAAATTACATCAGAAATAGAGCTTAATTGAAAAAAACGGATTGAATTGGGAGGTTAATCAGTGAAAAATAGCTTACTTGGTTTGAATTTGGAGAAATGGACCTCGAAAACGAACTCATGACACCAAAAAATATCAAGATAGGTGTTCCTGGAAAAAGTCAACGACCGATCAACGGCGGTCAAAGACCAGTCAATGGTCTCGGCTCGGCTCGACTCAATGGTTTGGCTCGGTCGGCTCAAACAACTCGATCTAGACCAGCCCAATCGAGTCAGACCTGTTCAACTGGTCAGCAGACCCCCTGATTGACATACAACGCCCACGTACAGGGTGCGGCGCGTGCGGCGGCTCTGGTCATCTGTTCGACGTAAAATTTTTAGTCTTGTAGATCGACACCTTGGGAGTCTCGTGCATGTGTTATTTTGTTACGGCGGAGTGTGGAATTTTAAAATGTTTGAACTTTTCCAACGGTGACTGACGAGTGACAACGACAGAGCAACGACGGTGTAACATTTCGGTCAGGTTTTGAGCGCAAGGTGACAGCGAGTCCAGCTATGGTGGCTGTGAGGCAAGCCGACGCCTTGATCGGCCAGAATCAAGGGTTAACCGTGACGTCGGGTGGGTTTTTCGTCACACGATCGATCGATGATACACGACAAATAGTGGCATTGTTCGATGTGAGGAGGCTCAAATTTTGGTCCTCGGTCGACGAGGATTCAAATGAGGGTAGTGGCGGGCTTAACGGTGGTTGGACGACAAAGAATCAGGAAGACGACAGAGGAGCGGCTAGGGATTTTAGGTTTGGGAATTAGGGATTTCATGTTTGGGAATTAGGGATTTTTGGGTATATTATCCGGGCTTTAAGGGTTAAATAATATTTTCATAATAAAATATCAAGAATTTGTCTAGTTTAAACAGTTAGGGTATGGTGGCCTTACTCGGGAGGGAGGGGTTCAAACCCTATTGCCCACTAACTTTCTTTCTTTTTTTTATTTCTTTTCTCAAAATGGTAAATTTAGGGTTAAGTCCCTAAAGTTTCCATAATTTTTAATCCAAACTACAATTTTCTATAACTTGCAGTTTGGTCCTTAAATTAATTAAATTAATTTATAATTTGTAATAATATTTTTTAATTATTAGGGTTGTGACATATACTTCCTTATCTTTAAAAATTTTGATCTCGCATTAATTTAAATAAAAACAACAGAAAAACTACCTTTCTTGAGAATTTATCAACTAGATCGACGGTATATTTAGCAAATAACACCGAGAGATCCTCGTTGAAATTAATAACCTCCACCTTTTCTTTACCTTTCTCTGCCATGGCTCTACAATAAAATCTTCTGAAACCCTATTGTAAACGCTGTTGTAAACTGACAGTAACTAAAGATTTATGGGAGTTATCTTGAGATTGGTTACTCAAGAATATTTTAGAATAAAGGCAAGAAGAGGATAAAGATGAATTACAAAGTGAAGAAAAAGTTAACAGTTCTTTTATTCAAGCAACCTATCTTGGATTCTTGATACATAAAGCTTGTCTTATTCTATTTATAATAGAAATGCTTAGGTTCTTAACTAATTTTTAATAGACTGCAACAAATTAACTGTTCTTGTCTAACTCTTTTACTAACACCAGTTGTGTTCGCGTGTTGTGAGTACTATAAATTATACACAAATAATGTGCAAGTATACACAATCGCTCAAGTAATATAATGATGAGTGAGTATCATCTCCACAGGGATTGGGTGAAATTACAAAAGTCTAACCAAAGCAATACAGTATTCTATCTAAGTATAGTTAGTCTTGATATATACAAATGTCACGGCAATGTAAATGTGTATGCTGGTGGATATGTAGTGATGGTCTGATGGTGTAGCAAATGGAAATGCAAT